CCGCCCTGCCTACCTGGCCTGAAGAAGAGGAGGCTGAGTGGGGCTCCTCCCACAGTGACATCACTCCTGAGAATGAGACAGAGACACATCTGGATAATAATGGCAGCAATGCACAACACCCAACATGTTACAGGGAGGGAGATGATTCAGTCTGTGTCTTTGCAGCCTGTGCTGAGTCTTTGGTCAGTGAAGGTGTGCAGATCAACCCTGTGAATGTGACATCTAACTGTAATGTTGGGAGAGAAACAAATGAAAGGAAAGATGGGGTCTGTGGGCTGTTGACAAGAGGAAAGAGAGATGCTAGAGGAGAGAAGGATGAAGAGGAGGAGCATGACGATGGAGAGGTCTGGAGGAAAGAGGCGATGAAGGCCCTGTGCAATGTCATCTACAACAGCCCGAAAGCACAAGAGAGAGCCTGCATCCTGAGGTGTGACTCAAATTGTTACATGTGAAGCATTTGACAAATATGGTGTCAATATTTCAATATCATTATAGAAAACTCATTCTCTGTTTTATTATCTTGTGCTTTGTTTTCTTCACCAGGTTGCTCCATGGCCTGTCAGAAAGACTTAAAGATGGCATACATTCCTCATCACCTCCAAGTGGTCAATTTTATGAACTGCGGCTTCTCTTTCTGTTGACCGCTTTACGGCCTGAGCTTAGAATAGAACTCTGCCAGGTAACACTCATTGATACAAATGTAGAATATGGTATTATTATGATATTATTAGTGATACATACACTGTAAACATTTTTTTTTTTTTTCAAAGTTTATTGGATTATTGGAGTACACTTTTTTTTTTCAGGCCAATTACCACTTGTGGACAGAAAGATGGAGCAGGGACTCCCTATTAAATGTTTTTATACAATTAAGTGCTGCATTTCAAAACGTGAATAGTACCATACCATTAATGTATTTGCATATTTTATGGGTAAAATGATCATGATGGATGCACAGTGCCATTTTACAATTTTACTAAACGGGGACAATGAAACGTTTAGCTGTACTTTAGCTTTTTAACTTAAATTCTGAATTTTACTTATATTTTTGTTTAACGCATATTTTATAAAAAAAAATTCATTTGAAATAAAACAACAGTTAGTGGACCCCCTGCAGGATCACTGTAGACCACCTAGTGGTCAAAGACGACATAAAACAAATTGTTATGAGAACACAAAACTGCCTCTTTCATATCTGTGGGCATTTCAGAGACTCATTGTTTGTCCTCTTCCTGTCAGGAGCGCGGCGTGTCCATGCTGACTGCTGCTCTGGAACAGTGTTTAGAAGTGTGCTGGGGAGAAACGCATGAGGTGCTGACTGACCTCACAGCACCCCCTGTGTCTAAGGAGGTGACTCAGCGTGCCCTTGAGATTATCAAGACCCTGTTCAACATTACCTACAGTGTGCACAGACAGGAAGTAGATGAGGTTAATGCTGTTTTTTTTTTGTTTTTTGTTTTGCTCCTAATAACCACATCTGGGTCCTTCCATCATGAACTCTATATTTTACTTGATCATTCACACAATGGCCAGCAAAAATACAGGATTATTAACAATAACAATTTGATCAACAAACCAACAAATAGCACAAAAATGTACATATCATCAAATCCATTGCTAATTCTCACAATGTGGCCTTGACACAAGGGAAAAAAAATTAGAAAGTGGATTTAACTAAAACAAGAGGACAAAATAATAAAACAGTCGTGGGAAAGAATTCTTAATTTGACACCACAATCTTTTTTCCCACATATCGTGTGGGGCTGATGTTAAGAACAAAAAAAAATATAAAAAAATAATCACACCTATCCACTTCATTGTAATATTGTTTTGGTTTTCTTTCTTCTGCCACAGGAGGCTGTAGATTTGTATCGTCACCTAGCTGCAGTCCTGCGTCACTGTCTACTCGTGCCCTGTGAGGGAGAGGATAGAAAAGAGGAGCTACAAGGGTAAGAGTGAGAATCAAACCACTGTAAATCTTGAGAGGTCTCATTCTATTGATCTCTATAACTCTCCTGTGCTGAATATCCACAGACACACAGTGAATGTGCTCTCAGCGCTCCCACTGCAGTGCCTAGATGTTCTGCTATCCGTTCACCTATCTGAAGGTTCGAAGGAGTCCGGCGGAGTCAACATGGACTGCGTTAACACTCTGCTGCTCTTCATGGAGAAGAGACTGGACAGAGTGAGAAAGAGCGCTCTGAACTGTCTAGTGTCCCTGTAGCTCAAGAACATGGCACTTGTAAGGCCAAAGTTAAGGATTTGATTTCCAGGGTCCTCATAGACTGGGGTTCAGTTTCCATAACATGCATGTTAAAGGGATAGTTCACCCAAAAATAAAAATTCTGTCATCATTTACTCAACTTCCTGTCGTTCAGAATCTTTTCTTCCTTGGAACATATAAGACGATATTTTGAGAAATGTCCATACATCGATGTTAACCAAAACTGTTGGGTTACCAACATTCTTCAAAATATCCTCTTTTGTGTTCCACAGAAGAAAGAATGTCAACAGGTTTTGAACAACAATGAAGACAGAATTTAAATTTTTAACGTTTATCTTCTTATATATATATATGAAGACGTGGAGATATAGGCCAAAATATTTTGCATTTGTAAAATGTATTTCATTATAAATGTTACGTCTTCAAATGTGAATTATACAGGGCCATAAGCTGAAGGAAAAGTTGGCTCCAGTGTTAAACCTGTTGACTGAGAGCAGCAAAGCTCACAGGGAAACTAGGCACTATCTCAGACAGCAGGTACGATACTCACCTCAAAATACTTTTTAAAAAACATTTTCACCAATTTAGTGTGCTTTAAGGCTGTTCAAACCAAGAACAATAGCTATTAAGACAACTATAGCAATAATTATATTATGGTTCACACCAACTTATTATAATGGTGTGCTGCAGTTATGTTGTCTGTTTGGCTATCAATGTTTTTATAGTTTTTTTATAGTATGATTTCAACTATATTGTTTCTCTGTGCCGTTATCATTATAGCTGTGGTATGGACTTCCCTATTCTCATAGAATTAGAATGATTACTAAAAATGTATAGTTATGGTTATCATAATAGTTATTGTTCTTGGTGTGAGCCTATTAAGTGTTACTTTTGGAGCACTATATAAATATGAAACATTAAGTCTGACACATACTTGTTATTCTCGTGGCTGTGTACCGGGAACCTGATCCTGTGCTATTTTTGAGCAGATCCTGCCTCCACTGAGAGACGTTGAGATGAGGCCTGAACAGGGGAACACATTGAGGGGCAAACTAGTGCGACTAATGACCCATGTCGACACTGATATCAAACACTGTGCAGCTGAGCTTCTCTTTGTGCTCTGTAAAGAAAATGGTACATAGATGCATCTACTGAACTATGTAAAGTGCACTGACAATTATTATTTATATATACCGTGAAACTGAATGAATATCATATTCATGTATCATGGTATGAGCATGTTATAATTGAACATGTAAGTGCTGGAGGGATGTAATATTTTTGTAGGCCAACCCAGAAGTTAACGAACTATACCACGGTTGCATGACTTTAATGTCACCACCACTAAGCTTCAGACAACTCTTTCAATCTTTATTTAAAAGCAATTTTCCTTAAAGTGTGAATTACAATAGTTAAAATGTGAAAATATCTTGAGCTTGTCTTAAAACACAACACTTATTTCAGGCATTTAACCAAAGACCCGTTCAAAAAACCCATTGCCTTTAGGACAATGGAACCAGAAATGCTAAAATTCTAATTCATTTCCAGATTTTGGTCTACAAAAATGTCATCCTGCAGCACTCTATTCATAATACACCTTTCTGTGACATTTAAGATAGTGTTGTTGGTATGGTATTCATTAACTCTTTCTCTCCCAGTGAGCAGGTTTGTGAAGTACACTTACGGTAATGCAGCGGGGCTGCTGGCGGCACGGGGTCTATTGAACAGCCGTGGCCTCTCTCCTCAACCGCAGTACTCCAGTGACTCTGACTCAGACACGGAGGAGTACAGACAGGCCAAGGACAGGATTAACCCTGTGACGGGACGGGTGGAGGAGGAACAGCCTGATCCTATGGAAGGAATGACTGAAGAAGAGAAAGAGGCAGAGGCGCTCAGACTCATAAATATGTTCAACAAGCTCTCACGGTATGTGTGTGTCAAGAGAGATTCCACCATAAATGTGGTGAAATCATCACTGATTTCCTTTTCAAAACATTTGTGTAGTGGATAGGTAATCACCATATATATATATATATGTATGCATTTTTTTACTCATCATTCGTATACTTCTACCACACCCGCTCAGAGGCAAAATCATTCAGCCAATGGGAGTGACAACGGATGGCAAACTGGCGCCGCTTTGTGGCCAGACGAGGCACAGCGCTGTGGAGGAGGAGGACGAAGAAGAGGAGGAAGAAGATAGTGAAACAGAGCAGTAATGATGTCAACATGATCATGATGATGATTAATGACAGACAGGTGCAAGATATTTTATACTAATGACTGATATAGCGCTGAAACAATATTGATATCTAAAAATCCTATAACTTACAATAATAAGGAAATAAGTTATTGGTTCATTTAATCAGTTATTGTAAATATGGGATGTAAAAGGAAATGATATTGAGACACGAAACAGAATAAACCAAGCTCTGTATGATGTGTGAGGAAAAGAATAAGGGATGCAAATAATAATAATTTATGATGTACACAAAATAGCGGAGAATGTCGTTTCTTTATAATTTCTTTGTGTGAGTCACGATATCAGCTAGAACCCGTAAAATAGGAAGCTACTAAGAAGCAGAGGAGGAAAGAAAGAGACAAAGAGAGACAGCCATCACACCGAAGACAAACACTCCTGGAAAATGCTGCTGGTGTTGCCATGGTTTTGTTACCATGGTAACAACAGGAAACGCAGTTCTACGGATTCTTTTTTTTTTTTCGCGCTCTAGCGGGAGTGGAATGTTTACCTTGAAGAGAACTGCCGAGGTGCAACAACTTAAACCGCCAGTGGCTCTAACACATTCTGCAAAGGAAAATCTAATTTTCCTGCAACTTGGAGGTGCACTGGTTTTGTTTGAGAGAGAAGAGTTTCTCCTTTCTCCAAATAGGATGTGCTTGGAACGTCGACAGCTGAATCTTAAGCCTTGGTGCTGAGCGTCAGCAGTTCAATGAAGGAATTGAACAGAGTCTCTAGCCAGCCCTGGTTGGCCATGCACTGCTGAACCACCTCCTCCTGACCCGGATCCTCCTCCGCTGCCTGTTCTATGCTGTCCGTCTGGGGAGGGAGAAAGAGAGGAGAGGGTTTTTACGGGCACATACATGGATACAGTGTTGCATTTCTCAAATAAGCTCATAATTCCTCATACCTCCTTTTTACAGTGCAAAAAGGTGTGATATTTGTAGTGATGGAGAGAGTGATAGAGACTGTATATTCGACAAGTCTCTGTCGACAGCTTCAGGTCCTGGCAAGCAGAGAGAGATGGGGTTACAAGTAAAGAAAGAGAGCTCAGATTTCAGCTCAGATGTATTATTGAAATTAGGGTATCTGCAGGATTTTTAAGCTCAAATCTAAGACTTTTTAAGACCTTTTTTAAGACCTGCACAAATAAAATTAATACCATATAATACCAATGTCTATGGTAACATATTACACTGTAAAATGATTGTAAAAAGCATGATTTACAGTTCGGACACAGGTTTTCACAAAAAATAAATAAATAAATAAACTTCACATTTCAGCCTTTAAACCATTTTTAAGAAAACGTATGAGTCAAAAGTATCAATTATTATATTAATTTAAACAATTATTATCAATCATTATATTAAATAACAAATATTTTTTACTGTTAATCGTTTAGATTTTTATAATGCATTATCTTGTCGATCCACCAGTTCACATTTACAACTCTGCGTGTTTGTAACATAAAAACATGGGTTGATTTTCACATCGGTCTGAACGAAAACAGCAGACTGGATTGTTGAAAATGCACATTCATTCTCTGCCAGCAGGAGGCGCTTTCAGAACGGCAGAAATACAGCGGTTTCCCCAGTTCCCCAGCACATGACTTTGAAACTTGCAGCTCTCATGTTTAATCAACAAAATCATGGCCTTTTGAAGTTTAATCGCCACATTCAGCCATATCGCAATTCTCGTCTTTCTGTCCCCAAATTTAAGACCCCCTGAAATCATAATTAAGACTTTCTTGTACCATTTAAGACATTTTATGACCTTAAATTTGATACAACTAAATTTGAGACTTTTTAAGGACCCGCGGAAAGCCTGATTTGAAATACAATGACCCCAAAAAGCTTTTGGACACTTCACCAAAGAACCTTCATGACTTTCTTTCATCTGTGGAGAACAAAAATTAGATATAATGCAGTGTTTTTACCATGAAAGTCAAACTGACTTTTATTTTATGGACAAAAATAGTTAAAACATTCCTCAAAATATCTTCTCCTTGTTCTTCATTGCGTTATCTTCATTGCATTATATAACAAAACATCAAATCAGTTGGCATCTGCAAACAAATGGTGCCTTTTTAACCATTTTTGCAATGTTTAAACAAATGGTCCAGAGATCACAGTTCATCACATTAATGATGTTTATTCAACTAACATTTAACTTAAACAATTAACTTTTTATCTTAAAAAGTGAGCTTGTAATGTCTGTCTTTAAAATAAAAACAGTGTGGTTTAATATTTCATTATATAGTGCAATAGGGGTGGTAAATCGAACAATTCGTCATGATACAATCTGAAATCGATTCTCTTAGCCAGCAATACATTATTTGCCGATACCTCAAAAAATGCTATGATATGATTACAATTTGATTAGATTTAGAAGCCTGCGATCGATATAGCAATATTTTGTTTTTTTTACACAACCAGTTACATTTTTATTAACTCAAAAACGCAACCATAATTTAACAGTCAAACAAGTCATCTAATGCATCTTATTAATTTATAAAAACATCTAGAGATTTTTTTATGCATTGCATCAATGTATCATATAGTTACTCATTTGATCGATGCATCAATCCATATCGATTATACCCCTATAATTCAACAACATTTATATTTATTTTTAGGCATGGCTGAAGTGCCCAAATACTTCTTGTGGTTTCTTATTGGACTGCTTAATTATGTAAGTGAGAAACAATTGTGTATACAACATGCCTGCTGTTTGGGAAGGCTCCTTTTGACTCTGTTGAGGGTTTTGCGGTTGTAACTCTCACCACCCAGGTGCACTTTAACCGCTCCAGAGTCTAGGGGGTCTGCTGTCATTTGAGGGAACATGTGCAGTGCCTCCTACAGGATGGGAAAGGAGGGAGAGTGAGAGACTGCTAGACATGTTCTTTAGAAAACACAAATCAACAAGTCTTGAGTACTCAAGAGGAACAGCATTTGAGTATCACTGAAAGCCAGTGTCACCTGATGCTGGACACTCATGTTGACCCTTCTCAACAGCCTTCGTTTCTGTTCGTTGAGGATACTGTCAATCTTTCTCATGGGTGGGAGATAAAGCTCATCTGAGGACAAAAGGGGAGGAGCCAGTGATAATGCATTGGTACCGAGTTGTTAAATTGAAAAATACCATTACTTTAGATTCACATTTCCGTTCAAAGGTTTGGGGGTGGTAGGATTTTTATATATTTTTTTAATGTTTTTGAAAGAAGTCTCTTATGCACACGAAGTCTGCATTATTATCAACACTGAAAACACTTGTGTTACTTAATATTTTTGTGGAAAATTATACTTTTTTTTATTTGTAGAATTCTTTAATGAATGTAAAGTAAGTTTAAAAAAAACAACATGTATTTGAAATCATAACTGTCTTTACTGTCACTTTTGATCAATTTATATCAATATTTAACTAGCAAAAGAATGAGCAAATTGCCGTTTAAAACAGTGTTAGATTATTTTTGCACATTTATCTATCAGCACAGGTTTATTTATTGCTACAATATGTTAGTTTTTCAGATATATTTGTGTTTAGGCATGGAAAGATGGCATCAGTGGCCTATAAACTTAATTTAATGAATCTAAAACAGCCTGCATTAGTCACTGTAACTTTCCACTCCTCTTTTCTAAGCATCTTTTGCTTGTCATTATTCTTCCAGTCTCACCTCATTGTCCTCTCTCTCAACCTCCTTTGCTTTATTAAACATCCTTCTCTCCCTTAATCACCCCACCCAGTCCTCCACACATGCACTTTATATTTCACCTAATGATGTGCGCTCACCGTTGGTGTCCTCAAGAGCTTGGATCATGTCTGGGTCCAGAGCAGTGCTGACCAGCATCTCTACATAACTGCGGAACATCTCTCTCATGGCCCGACTGTTTATTCCACTGCGTGTGGATACTGAGGATAGAAGAGATGCAAAACACATGAAAAAAACAGAAGGCACACACCAAAAAGTACACACATACACACACTCTCTCTCTCTTTAACAACTTAGTTTTGGCTCCACAAAACAGGAAATGCAAAATTAACTAAATTCAGTGTCCATCATGGCATACAGTGTGCTGGTTTATAGACAGATTGTGTATATATATATATATATATATTATATGTATATTATGTAATACATTTTCAAATATGACAGTTTTGTGACAATGTAGTCTGTGCTATTTAAAATAAATGCAGTATTTTACACTTTATATTTATCAAAGAATCCTGGAAAAAATGTTGCACAGTTTCCCCCCCAAAAAATCAAGAAATGTTTCTTGAGCACCAAAATTCTTTCTGAAGGATCATGTGACACTGAAGACTGGAGTAATGACTGCTGAAAATTCAGCTTTGCCATCACAGAAATAAATTACATTTTAAAAACATATTACAATAGAAAACAGGTTTTAAAAATGCAATGATATTTCACAATATTACTGTTTTTACTGTATTTGTATAAAAGCATAAGAGACTTCTTTCAAAAACATTTTAAAATCTTACTACCCCACACTTTTGAACGGCAAGGTATAGTGCAGTTACACTGATTGACGCTGCTGATAGCTTTGAGTACTTTGCAAAACTACACTCAAATGGACACACATGGTATACTGCACACAAATAGCCAACCCATACACACCTTCATCCTCACTAGGCGGATCAGGGAAGGAGTCTGAATCAGAGGAAGAGGGCATTTCTTTCAGCCACTTCTTCCTCTTTTTAGGTGGAGGTTCTGCCTTTACTTTCACAGGCCTGCTCCTCGTCCTGTCAACCCTCTTCTCCTCTTTGACCCTCCCGTGCTCCACAACTGCTGTTTTCCTCTCCAGCTTCTCTTGAGTTTGTCGCTCTTGGAGCTTCTTTTCCTTCTCTCGCTCTTTCTCCCTCTCCTTCTCTCGTTGTTTTTCCCTTTCCTTCTCTTTCTCCCTTTCTCTTTCCCTCTCTCTCTCCTTCTCCTTTTGTTTTTCCTTTTCCCTTTCTCTCTCTCGTTGTTTTTCTCTTTCCTTCTCTCTTTCCCTTTCTTTTTGTTTCTCTTTTTCCCTTTCTTTTTGTTTCTCCTTCTCTTTTTGCTTTTCAAGTTCTCTCTCCCTTAACTTCTCTTTTTCCTTTTCTCTCCTAGATTTCTCGATCTGTTCCCTCTCTCGTTCTCGCTCCCTTTCCTTTTCTCTTTCTCTCTCTTTCTCCTTTTCTTTTCCCCTTTGTTCCCGTTGCTCTTTCTCCCGTTGTCTCTCTCTCTCCTTCTCTCTATCCTCTCGTTCCATGCGAGGTGGAGTCAGGCTGCGTACAGGTTGTGGCTTAGGAAGAGACTGGCGTCTGGTAGGAAGAAAAGACATTCATCTTAGCAACGACAATATACTGATTAAATTGACAGTTTGCCTGAAGTGAAAATTCTGTCATTATTTACTCAGCCTTGCCTAATTTTAAACCCATATACTGTTTGTTTTTTTCTGAGGAATGTCTTTTCCACACAATGACAGTTCATTCATAGTGAAGAATTTCTGTTAAGATTTAAGCCTATGCCACAGGTTTTACGTCAGCAACATCAAATGTCATTAGCTCTCGCATATCTCAAAATCAATTATCATAACGCCAATATTTTATTTGAGAGCTGAAGCATTTGAAAGATTATCAATGAATAAATACTTAAATTGTGTTGCTTTCTCACACAAACCTATTGTTTGATTGCAGAGGACTGAATATAGCGTATGAGTAAGATGGACCATATTTATGGTGCCTTTTTAGTGTTTTTTGTTTTCTTTTTAATGCCTGATAGACATAGCACCACTGTGAACTGTTTTTTTAAACAAGCTGTATGCAGATTCTTGAAAAAGTCTGTGCTCCACGGAAAAAGCAACAACATTTAGGTTTTGAAAGCATGTGGGTAAGTAAATGATCACAGAATTCGTTGATTAACAGTAACTACTCTATTAACTGCAATATAGTACAGGACCACAGTAGCTCCAGAAGTGCATTTAGGGTGAAATTACCTCAGTGTGAGACTGGGCCGATGCCAGGGTTTCCGCGAGCACACTCGGACATAATCCTTTTTATTCACATTCTCCAAGAATTTGACATATAAACGCTGATAACGCATCTTTGCATCTCCAAAGTAGCCCAAATACTGCCAAAGAGTGACAGAGGACAGACAGAGTGAGTTTAAGGAGGTGGTGTAGTATTACTTTTTTTATGCAAGCCATCCAATGCATGCTATCAATGCTTATCAAATACAAAAACACACTCACATTACTGGTAGCACAAAACTGTCGCTGTCCATCTTTGATTTCAGGAGCGAACTTCTGCAGCAGAGCTTTCTGGACCCTCCATATTGGAGGAGGCTCTCGTCCTGTCTGCAGCGCCAGCTGAGAAAAGCCATGAGAATTGAGCAAGTTAAGTCGGCATTAAATAAAAACTAATTTTTCATAATTCATATTATATTTTGCAAATGCATATTATAGATCTTATTGTTAATGATTCATCCATGCACGTTAAATTTTTTGACCTTTTCATGTTTAATTAAATTGACATAACTGGACCTTCCTTAGAAACAACAGACTTCTCACTGATGTATAGCAGATTTTTCCAATCATTTAGTCTGGTTAAACCCTGCCTTTCCACAATCGACTCATTTATTTTTGACTGCAACACCCACTTCTCAATTCAAACAACAAGAGACAGACCATGGATCTCCAAAACTGCTCCTGGAGTGCTACCGTTCTGCAGACTACAGTTCCAATCATTTCAATTTCAATTTCAAGCTTTTATTGTCATTGCATCGGAATGCAATGAAATTTCAGAGACTACACACAGAGGTGCTACAATATGACATTATCATGTTTCAGCACACCTGTCTGTAATTTTCAAGTTACCCTGAACAGCTTGATTAGCAGGTTCAGGTGTATTTGATTGGGGTTGGAGCTGAACTCTGCTGGACAGTAGCTCTCTAGTGCCCCTTTTCCGGGTAGCATGAACCGGGTGCTGGTTCAGAGCTAATGCTATTGCCAGTTCAGAGTTGGTTCGACTGGCGAGCCTTCTAAGAACCGGTTTGCTTTCCACGGGCTAGAGAGCCACCACAGAGCCAGGTCTTACGTCACTGAATACGTGTCATCTTTCCCAGCAACGCTAGCGTGGCAGGGCCAAACACAAACACAAACACACCATCAACAATGGCGGACATTGCGTTACTATTGATGTTCATGGCTTTGTCTAAAACCAGTTTAGGCTGGTTGCCTAGTCTTAGCTGGTTTAAGCTTGGTTCTCACAGCTTGACCAGCTAAGACCAGCCTGACCAGCTAAAAAGTTGCCAAAACCCCTTTAAAACCAGCCAAAGCAGCCAATCAGCTTAGGCTGGTTTTAGCGGTTTTTTTCAGTAGGGAGTTTTTAAGCTTTGCTATGGCAGTAGACAGCTGAAATACACCATACGTCTCATTGTATAAAAGTTTTCACATCCTCAATGAAAGATTTTAGGTGGTTTTGATAGTCTGGTTTATGAAAACCGTAAGCCAGATCAGGTAGAAAAGATATAGCAACCCGAGTCAGACCAGTCTGAAGGTCTGTTAAAATTTGGTCTCAGAAGAAGAAGAAGAAGTTTAAATAGGATTTCAGTAAGTTGATTTTTTCAAGCCAACTTAATAAGCGAGACCAGAGTGCAAGAAAGAAGTTTCCGAAGTTTCCTACAGTTGTTTTTGATTAATTGCATCAATAGTGTTTAGCTGCTATTTCAAAAATGGAGGTCATGGAGGTCA